AGAAACCCCCTTGGGAGCTGCCACCCAATGTGCAAAGACTACCCCGATCCTGTTTTCCCTGCCAGCTCAGGACTCCAGCACCCTGTCTTGCTGAGCCAGACACTCCCGTCTGCTCCAACACAGACCCAGGGTCTGAATCACTTGCCCCAAAGCTGCAAGTTTACCTGAAAACAGCTCACAGAAGTGTGCTTGTCTCTAGCACTCAGATGCTCAACTCCCAATGGGGTCTAAATCCAAATAAATCCGTTTTACCCTGCATAAAGCTTATGCAGGGCAAACTCATAAATTGTTCGCCCTCTATAACACTGATAGAGAAATATGCACAGTTGTTTGCTCCCCCAGGTATTAATACATACTCTGAGTAAATTACTAAATAAAAAGTGATTTTATTAAATACAGAAAATAGGATTTAAGTGGGTCCAAGTAGTAACAGGCAGAACAAAGTAAGTCACCAAGCAAAATAAAATAAAATGCGCAAATCTATGTCTAATCAAGCTAAATACAGATAATCTCACCCTCAGAGATGCTTCAGTAAGTTTTTCTCAGACTGGACACCTTCCAGGCCTGGGTACAATTCTTTCCCCTGGTACAGCTCTTGTTCCAGCTCAGGTGATAGCTAGGGGATTCTTCATGATGGCTCCTCTCTCCCTTTGTTCTCTTCCACCCCTTTATATATCTTTTGCATAAGGCGGGAACCCTTTGTCCCTCTGGGTTTCCACCCCCCCTCACTGGAAAAGCACCAGGTTAAAGATGGATTCCAGTTCAGGTGACATGATCACATGTCACTGCAAGACTTCATTGCCCACTTGCCAGCACACACATATACAGGAAGACTAACAGGTAAACACAGCCATCTGCAGACAATGGTCCTGGTTAATGGGAGTCATCAAGATTCCAAACCATCATTAATGGCCCACAGTTTACATAATTACAATAGGCCCTCAGAGTTATGTTTTATATTTCTAGTTTTAGATACAAGAGAGGTACATTTCTACAAATAGGATGATCACACTCAGTAGATTATGAGCTTTGTAATGATACCTTACAAGAGACCTTTTGCACGAAGCATATCCCAGTTACATTATATTCACTTATTATCATGTTTTTATAAAACCATATAGACTGCACAACGTCGCAGACCCGGTCCATCCTATTGACGGGACGGCTCTGAAAATATAAGCCCAAACATTGGTGGAGCCGGGCCCACCTTCCTGAATATTGGTGGAGCATGGGCGCCACAGGACCATATAACTCGCCGCATATGGACAAGGCAGTGTATACCTTATCACATGTTGGGCTGGTTGAGTTAGGGTATGTCTACACAGCAGCTGGAAGGTATAATTGCCAACTTGGGTAGATGTATACATGCTTGCTCTGATCGAGCTAGCATGCTAAAAATAGCAGTGTGGCTGCAGCGGCTTAGGCTAGTTCCCAAGTACAAGCCTGCTCGAGACCCTAGGTAGTACTCAGGTGGCTAGCCTGAGCTGCCACCTGTGCCACGTTGCTATTTTAGAGTGCTAACGAGGGTTGCCAACTTTCTAATTGCTGACAACTGGACTCCCCCCCCTTGCCACACCTCTTCCCCCAAGGCCCTACCCCCTGCTCCACCTCTTCCTCCAGGCTGTCCGCTCGCTCCTCTCCCTCTCTTTACCCATCACTCGCTGTTCTCCCCCTTCCTTGTAGCTGGGCTCGCTCTGCTTCGAAGCTGCAGCCTGACACGGAGCCTGCTGCCTGCCTGCCCATGAGATGCAGGTAGGTTGATAACCCAGGGCCCTCTTCCCCCCGGCCTGTGGTAACTAGACTTTTGGTGTCTGGTCAGTACATCTGACTGGACACTGCCATGTCCCCTTTTTGACCAGACTTTCCAGTTGAAAACTGGGCACCTGGCAACCCTAGCGCTAACTGCTAAACTTCACATGGCCACACTGCTATTTTAGCACATGAACTCAAGCAGAGCTGGAAACGTACATCTACTCAAGCTGGAAATTACACCTCCCAGTAGGGTTGCCGACTTTCTAATGGCACAAAACCGAATACCCTAGCCCTGCCACTTCCCTGAGGCCCCACCCCCTTCCCCGCCCCCTGAGGCACCACCCCCACTCACTACATTCCCCCTCCCTTGGTGGCTTGCTCTCCCCCACCCTCACTCACTTTCACAGGGCTGGGGCAGGGGCTTGGAGTGCAGGAGGGGGTGCAGGCTCTGGGCTGGGGGTGCGGGCTCTGGGGTGGGGCCAGGGATGAGAGGTTTGGGGAGGGCTCAGGGCTGGGGCAGGGGGTTGGGGCTCAGGGTTACCTTGGTCAGCTCCCGGTCAGCGGTGTAGCAGAGCGTGCGCCCCGGAAGCGGCCAGCAGGTCCGGCGCTAGTAGGTATGGGGGCAGGAGGCTCTGTGCGCTGCTCTCACCCGCAGGCACTGCCCCCCCCCCCGGGGGGCAGTGCACAGAGCCCCGTGGTCCCCCTGCCTAGGAGCCGGACCTGCTGGCTGCTTCCGGGGCGCAGCACAGTACCAGGACAGGTAGGGACTAGCCTGCCTTAGCGCTGCAGCACTGCCGACCGGACCTTTAACGGCCCGGTTGGTGGTGCTGACCGGCGCCGCCAGGGTCCTTATTCAACTAGGTGTTCCAGTCGAAAACTGGACACCTGGTCACCCTGCCTCCCAGCTACAGTGTAAACATAACCTGAGAGGCTAGACTTGAGCTCAAGCTTTAACTGAACCAGCACAGTGTTAAAGTATACACTGTCTTGCCTGCGCTAGACTGAAATGTGTTAGCCTATTAGCTAGCATGCTAGCACCATGCTTAAATCCTAGTCTGGACAAAGACCAAAGGGCTGTAGCAATATCCTAGATAAACCTTTTTGAATTAAATTAAACCTTATTATATTAAGTTTAATACCTTTGGGGTCCATTAAAAATGCAGTTGTTTGTGTTATTGTGAGAGTGTATGTAACTTCTCTCGGAAGAGGGGGCATGCTGATCTAATTCCTCCAGTTATCACCCTTTTTGAGTCTTCACTCTAGGGAGGAGACCCATTGTCCGAGTGATTCAGGGTCTCTTCAGAAGTTCAGACTGGATTCTCCAGAGACCTGCAGACAAAGAAAGAACTTTGGGATAAATAACTGACTCAGGGCTTTTGTTCTGATCCAGCCAACTGACAGGCCCTCCTGTGGGCCCCAATCCTTAACGAAGGGTTGGAAGGACTTTGGCCTACTGAGGCCCCATAAGCTTGTGTTCTTGTTCTGAGCAAAGAGTGTGATGAACTTGAAACCACAGGAAAACCCCTGGGGTGGGGTTTTGAAGGACTGCTTCTGCCAGAGCCCATGTTGGAGGGGGTGATCTCTGGTAAGTTTATCGTGTGTGTAGGTTCTTTTGTTGTTTTTAATATCTTTTCTCTCTAATACTTTTCCCTTTTAAGAATAAAATAGGCTTGCTTAGGTAGAATTGTATAGTCACTTATAACTGTGGGCAACTTATTAGTCTCTGAAGAAAAAGCAAGCAGGCCTGCTTAGACAGACTGTCTTTTGATGTCTTTTCAACCTCTCTGGCCACTCAGTAACAGACCTGTAGGTGTCAATTTTGCAACAGAAAGACTTCAAAAACAGACTCCAAAGAGAAACTGCTGAGCTTGAATTGATTTGCAAATTAGATACCATTAACTCTGGTTTGAATAGAGACTGGGAATGGCTGAGTCATTACACTACTTGAATCTATTTCCTTATGATAACTATCCTTACACCTCTTGTCAACTGTCTGTAATTGACTACAAAAGTTTTTTTCCTGCTCATAATAGGTCATCTTAATTAATTAGCCTCTTAGAGCTGGTATGGCATCTTCTCTGTATGTGTGTGTGTATATATATATATATATATATATATATATACTCTTATTATATGTTCCATTCTATGCATCCGATGAAGTGGGCTGTAGCCCACGAAAGCTTATGCTCAAATAAATTTGTTAGTCTCTAAGGTGCCACAAGTACTCCTGTTCTTTTTACGGATACAGACAAACATGGCTGCTACTCTGAAACCTGTCTTTTGATGGGTAGGAAAAAGTGAAGGTAGGGAACTGTTCAGCCTGGGAATACCCAAGTCAGATGGGAGAAAGACAACTGCTTGGGAGCCAGAAGCCTGAGAGTGGGGCCCTTGCTGGACCATAGAGGGGGAATAGAGATGCAGTTTTCCTGAACAGTGACACATGGTACTATAACATGGTTTCCACCCTGCCAAGACCAAACTGTATTATACCATGATCAGGACACAACTGTTATAACATGGTGCACCCACACAGGTAACTTTGTAGTGTAGTCTGGCCTTTGAGCTTGCTGAAGTAGCACCTAAATATCTTTTTTTCCCCAAATAATGTATGCTGTTTTTATTTTTTGAATTTCCCAACTTTATGTAAAGTTCGCAAATCTTATTGAAAAGCAGACATCCCAACTCGAACAGAATGTGATGAAATAACAAAATGCATTAAGGAAGTTATCAGGATACCTGTGTTGCTGGATGTCATGTGTCATATGATGAATACATTAGTACACAAATGACTGTGGTGTGCACAGTCTGATTGCTGTTGACTTAGATTCTAGCCTCTATAATAAAATTGTTAAACATTCTTAGCTGTATAAAAAAATTCACGTCAGTATAACATTTTCTCAAATCCTATCAAGCTTTCTTTGGGTATAATACAATGTGTTCTATCAAAGGATGGCAAAAACAACTGTACAATGGAATAACCTTTCAATTTACAGTTGTTTACTGCTCATGCCCCAGGCAGAATGCACCATCTTCATTATCTTTATGGGTATTCAGGCAGAGGCTTTCCTCATTGATTTACTTAGTGAGGCATGAATTCAATAACTGAAAAAAATCAATTATTTGGGGTTTTTATTCCTGATATATCCTTTCACAAAAGTGTTAGCAGGATCCTTCTGTTCTATTACGCCTGAATAAATTCATAAGTAGCAATGTTTTAATTTTCTTTGTTTTTTAATTAAATTTTGCAGACTCAGCTCTTGGGTGTTTTGCTGGCAATCACTGGAAATTTTCTGATTAGTATCTCTTTGAATATCCAGGTATGAAATATTTTTTTCTAATTATTTGGATTTATTTAAATTTTAGTAAATGATGTATGTTTTATTATTTAATTAAAGCACTTTTTAAATAATCATGTTAATAGTCCACTGAAATGTAGGCTTCCTCCCTCCCTCCCCCCAATAACTCTGTGATAGTGCACTGGTTCTCTACCTTTTCTATGTGACCCCATGTTACAACAGAAGAAAGTTTCAGGATTCCTCCTTCCAACTAGCCATAAAAACAGGGAAGCAGATCACTACACCCTTGGACCTCTTCATGATCTCAATGGTGATTGTCACCCTCAGCTTGAGAGCCAGTGTGTTAGTGAATGCAAATCCTAAGAGAAGCTGCCCATAAACAAAGGCATCCAATCCTGTTTAATAGAACTAGTCTTGTAAATAAATTAATGGAGGGGAGGGATAGCTCAGTGGTTTGAGCATTGGCCTGCTAAACCCAGGGTTGTGAGTTCAATCCTTGAGGGGGCCATTTAAGGATCTGGGGTACAAAACAAACAAACAAACCTGTCAGGGACAGTACTTGGTCATGCTAGTGAAGGCAGGGGACTGGACTTGATGACCTTTCAAGGTCCCTTCCAGTTCTATGAGATAGGTATATCTCCATATATTATAACACATTTACTTAAATGTTTGCAAGATTGGGGCCGAAAGCAATGCTTGCCAGACTAATTTCATTGTGCAAGCTGAAGGAAATGCTAATAATAAATAGCATAAAAGACAAAAAGCAAACTGAGGTCCTGACCTTGCACCTTTACCTTCAAGAGTAATCCCTTGAACCCAGTTGGACTGTTGGCATGAATAAGGATCACTGAGGTGAATTCTTAAAATCTCTTCTGTTTTAATAATCAAAATTGCTACTAGTTAAACAGTAACAACTTTTTATTGTGATTTTTTTATCTTGAAAATGTCCCTTTAAGTATTTTCAGTAATCTTACCAATGAATTTTACTGGCAGAATCCATGTTTGAAGCTTCGAAGATTTAAAAAAGAAAAGAAAAGCGATTTCTCACAAAATTACTTTGGTAACATTGTATTCAGGCTTTTTTAAGCTCTCTTAGTATAAAACTGATTTTGTCTATTAAGGATGCAACTGCAAATCTATCTCTCAGCATAATCTCTTTTACACAATCTTTCATGAAAGTCTTCACCAGCCCACTCCTATTTTCTTAAGTGGATTTAGTGCTTTTGAATTATTCTAGATTGAGAGCCCCAGAAACAGAAGTACTCTGTGTATCTGCAGACCCCTTGTAATTTGCCATTGTTCTCTAAGACAAACCAGTGTTCCTCAATTCTGGATTGGAGACTAGGATCTCCTCTAACGGGAGCAGATCCAACTCCAGTGGAAAATCTCTCCCATTGACTACAGTGGAAGTTTGCTCAAGGCCAGGGTGAAGAGGTAATTCAGAGTTTCTGTCCCTAGCCTTGCTTAAAGTGTTTTTTGTAAGGTGGACCTTCACTGGGAAGCACATTGAGAATACACAGGCCTGCAAACAAGCTTTAACTTTTATTCTTTAACAACCTGGGCTGGATTTGAACTGAAGCATCTTCCTTTCTTTAAACACTGTGTACAAACTTAATAAAGACTTACTCCCTTTCCCCATGGATAACCAATTGCAGCAGAAACTTCTATTGCCCTATAAAAATGGCATTGTCCCCTTTAGTAATGAAAGAGAGGTTTATTAAATGGACACCTGACTTCTTTAAACCCCAACATTTATTTTCCTATTAATATTAATGGGATATAGGCCAAATTTTGTTACTCTTCACTATCCCACCCACCAAATGACCCCTTCTCCTTGTGTTCTCTTCCCCGCCTCCATTGGTCCCCAAATAAAAAAGCAGTCTGCAAACAAACACACCAGAGTCAGTACAAATTTGTGACTGTATTTCAGCTGCATTGGAAGTGCCCTCAGAACTCCCATGTGGGCAAAATACTTATTCTTGGAGCATGAGCAATCTGAACAGAGGAGGATGTGTAAGAGCTGCCAGTGGATTGGGGTTGTATGATCAAATACATGGAAAGTGTCTCTTCATGCACTCTAGAATTTTTCTCAGGGCCTCCATGTTGTTTTTTGCGGGTGAGGGAACAGAATGAGGGTACAATTAGAGCTCATCCGAAATTTTCCTTCAAAATTGTTTTTCAATAGAAAATTAGGTTTTTGACTAAATGGAATTTCTCACCCAAAGTGTCAGCTTTCTGTGGATAATTTTTTTAAACTGAAGCCTGAAAATTGAAATATTTCAGACAAAAGCCAAAATAAGTTGATTCTGAAATGCCACTCTGGTGCCTCATGAGAGTTGTAGTTGGGTTGCCTTATCCTCCCATTCTGCTTCATGGCCAGGCTCCCCTGCTGGATGTCATTCTGCAGGGTGCACTACAGCCGTGCACCTGCCATGGTGCACCACCTCCCCTCATCAAGAGGCAAGACCACGATGCATCATGGGAGATGTCATCTGACCAGAGAGCCCAGCCTCTAGAGGAGAATGGGACACCTGAACTACAACTCCCATGAGGCACTGCATCTGCATTTCCAAATCAAAATGTTTTGGTTTTAGAATTTTTTTGCCAAAAAACTGAAATTTTCCACAAGGAAAAAGGCATTTTCCCAACCAGTTCTAGGTAGAGCAGTAACACCAACTCTCTTGGTTACTACCTCTTACACTGTGCAGAAGGGCTGGTGAAAAATTTGGCTCTGTATGTGAGACCATATAGATGATTATTTATGTATGTATTTGTAGTAACATAGTACCTAGGAGCCTTAGTCATAGACCAAGACCCCATTGTGCTAGATGTACAAACACAGAACAAAAAAATGGTTCCAGCTCCAAAGTGTTTATAATCTAAGTATAAGACAAGAGACTTATATGGATGGATACAGACAGAGGGGAGAAACTGAGACAATATTAGGCAGCATGATAGGCAGGGTATCACGAACTAGCAAGACTAGCATAGTGAAAATTGCATATCCACCCAATAATTATACATTCTTGACTATCATCTACTCACTCCTTTAAGTGATTTCAGTGCAGCCAGAACCCTATTTTAGAAGACTCGAATGACCACGGTCATCAAAACATCCCGTCACGGCACAATTTAAGCTGTAAAACTAAATAGAAAACAATTACCATGCAAGTAAATAGTACTTCTTCCCTGTAGAAAAAGGTGTTGACAAACTGTTATTTGCCTATGTTATACTGTACTGTTGAAATAGAAATTAAGACATTTGGAACATAGACAGTGTTGACAAACTTTCGTTCACTGAGACTAAACCAATCCAGATTATGCTTTACAATGTGCGGGGGGGGGGTTTTTTGTTTGTTTGTTTGTTTGTTTTTTTGTATAGCAGGTGATCATGGCCCAAATCCTGCTTGCTTTACTAATGTGTGTAATCCTACTAAAGTCATGCATGAGTTAGGCGAGCAGAAAAAGGCCTCTGTCTTGTGTGAAAGGAATGCCAGTTCCTCCTGATACTAGCCATGCTTAGTTGCACACAGTTTTATTCTTAAACTGCCTTTGAAGCCACTTCATGGATCAGCTAGAAGGAGCACATTCCTCGATGGCCAACTTCACCTGGTTTGTGGCTTCAGCTTCATACATTTGCATTGCCGCTTAGGCTCCCCTGGGAATTTTTTTTTTCTTCCTGAAAAACCCTTTGAGATAACACCAGAGGCTTGTAGTGCTAGCCACCTAGACTATATATTAACTTCAGAGTGTCTTGATATTTTTTTCTGGTGGATATATTTAGTGGGGTAGATTTTTCATCATTTCAAACCAGGGTATTTGGTTAAGGAAGCATCAAGCCAAAGTAGCACTGTATTAGTACAAAGCACTATGTCTGCAACATCAAACTGAAACTAATTTTAAAAAAAGATGAAATCTTGATGTACCTGGTATTTGCAGTTGACAGGCCCCCTAATTACTCAAATTTCATTCTATGTATTAACACAATGAAAGCTTCTTTTTCATCTGTTCCTAATAATTAATTTCCAGAAATATGCTCATCTCCGACTGGCATGCCAAGCAAATCAAAAGCCCTATTACACAAGCAAGCTGTGGTGGTGTGGAATTATCCTCATGGGGCTTGGAGAGCTGGGAAACGCTGCAGCTTATGGATTTGCTCCAGCCACCCTTATAGCTCCATTAGGATGTGTATCCGTCATAGGTGAGCTGGTTTTCCATGTTTTATTTATGTAGATATTTTACTAAACAGTTGTTAGTGAGAAATATAAGAAAAATACAAGAGGGATTGCAGAGAGAAGAGAGAATTTGGGGGGAAATAGGGCTATTACAGTCTGGAAGTGAATGAATCATACAATTGAATAGGATGTAATTTTAAAATAAACCCCCTACTCAGTGCAAAAGATCCCGTATTAATCTATCCCATAGTTTGGCTTAGTGGTCTAGGATAATTCTGTGTAGAACTGCAGTACATGTTGATAGTGGGTCAATATCCAGTTGTTTGAGGTACCCCACAATGGGGCCTGAGCCAAGGCCCATTGACATCGACAGAAGTCATTCCTTTGACTTCAATGAGCTTTGGATTGAGCCTTTTGTGCTTAAATACTTTCTCTGTCTGTCTTATACAGTTGCCTCTCACTGTGGCATCAGGTGGCTTTCCCCTGCTGTCCCTTGCCCATCGCCATCCTCCATGCAGACTTATGCATGGCCTCCACACAGACCCTTTCTGGCACTCCGTTCTCCCTCTGCCCTATGCTCTATTGTTGGCTCCACAAGAACTACTGTACTAGGAAACTTAAACAGTGCTGAGTGGCTCTCTCGAGCCCTTGCACCAGAGTGAATGCCATGCTGTGCATTTGCACCGAGTTGTGCTTTTCCTCAGATTAGTGTCTTTGGTTCCTTCTCTCTTTTGGGAAGTTTATTAAGTGCATAAACTATTCTACCTCCTCTGATAAGAGGTCTGTGTGGTTAGAGAGGCCTACAAAATTCCAGAAACCTTCACTTTGTTCTGGGGCACTACTAATGCTGCCATCTTGTGCTTTCATAGGACAAATTAACAGACCTTTCAAATAATTATTTATACCATGGGCCTTATTTTATTATTTCTTATTCCATATTTAGAGCCTTTTATTAATGCATTTAAGCACCCAATCACTACAGGGCCAAAATCTTTTTTATCATTTTAGTTATGGTGGTGGTATTTCATTTATATTCTGTTTCTTCTTTTCTGGGGAACTCTATTTTTAAACAGTTTTGTCTCATCTGTACCAGTGGAAATTACAGTAGATAGGCTAGCATAGTACAGAAGCTGTAGAAATAGGAATTCACTGGTGCAGCTGCATCCCTTAATAATGTTGCTTCACATCCAAAACTGAAGCATCCAGTGCAGCCGTATCAGGATCCAGGTACACTGGAGTTCATCTTGACACCAGAAACAGCATGTGTTTCATGGATGGTCTCTTTCTATCAGTTCTCCTCCTCGACTCAACACTTCTGAAAATGATGCTGCATCCTAGAGTCTTTCTTCAGAAAGGCTGAGTTCTCTTCCCTGCAGACTTCCTGGCTGTAGTGGAAAGATTCATTCATGCATGCATGCGTGAGGGGTGTGTGTGTGTGTGTGTGTGTGTGTGTGTGTGTGTGTGTGTAAGAAGGGAAGGTGTAGGCAGCTGACGGTACCCTTTAACATTAAAATGTCCCTGAGTTTTGGCATCAAGTCCAACTGTACATCAGCACACACAATCCTTGGAAGGATTTACCATAGAAGGAAATGAAATATTTACCTGAGGATCAAACAATATGTTGGGCTGACACATACATATGTGCTTTGTAGTGGCAATAGTTATAACTTCAGCAATTGCAAATCTTGCCAGTTCCAGATGTCTCTGACCACTAAAGAAGCATTGTTCAGATAAAAATCCGTATTAAAAAATTACCCAGCAACCCATTAGATTTTGAAAAGTATTTTTCTTTTAATTTTTCATTTCTTCATTCTACTTTATATTGTGTTTACTTTTTGCACTTTATGCAGTTTGGACAACAAAACTAGATCTGGTCAGTTTCACGTTCTTTGTATCTTTCTCTCCACCTACGTTTGCAGGGAAATGTCTTCATTAAACAATCTGTCTCTATTGCTTCTCCTGCTCCTCCTACTCCCAAAAAATCATGGAAAAGATTTCCATAAACATTACATTATTCTCACTGCCCTGCCTCCCACTCTCTTTTTAACCAAACCAAAATTTGGTTTTAAAATATGACTATCCCTCAAACACTTTATATTCCATTCCCTTCTACCCACTCTGAATATCATTTTCTTAAGCAATGTAGAACTATTAAACTATATATTGTCCAGCAAACACATTCATCTAGCAATTCTGTACCTTACTGTGCCGGTTTCTCCAGTACTTAGTTTGAGCACAGACAAACTATTTTAGTTAGATAACCTCCCAACGATGTTAAAGAAGGGAAAGTAAACTGCAAATGTCAAGAAAGAAGAAATAAACTACCAGATTCAGTGTGCTGATGAAGTCAACACCTCCAGTAATATTCCCTGCCACTAGATGTTTTCTTACTGAAACTACTGCCATGGAAACAGTATTTTGTGAATTTTAGGCCCTCCTTTCGAGCTGTGATGGACTGATCAAGTCAAATATCACCTTCTGCTAATAACTGGGCAAAAGTAACTTATATAGCAGGTCTTCTAATAGAAGAAATATTTTTCTCATTAAATTTCAGCTAGTTCAGGGGGGAGGAGGTCATACCTGAGCTGGCTTCAATTTTGCACTGAAGTTGAATGTGTTTCTTTCCACAGGTCATAGTTCAGTGTTAAGATTGAGAAATTAAGCACTCAAAAGTAAAATTTCCTAAGTTTATTTGAACAGACAACCTTAACTCTGCCCTCTTTGTGCGTATTTTTCAAAATATCATCCCTCTGTCACAAATGTGTCAAATAAGAGAATCTGGATTTTCTTATATTCCTACAGTACTTATAATGGACTGCTCCTAGGATTGGATATGCTGTGTGTTACCATGCTGTACTACTACATATTACAGATTATACATTTAAAGTAATTATATGAACATTTTGTTTTCAATTAATGTGAAAACTCTGTGCCTGATCCTATGAGGTGGTGACATTAGTGAGTTTTATAGGGGGCATCCAGCACTGTGAAGATATGGGCCAGAAATTGGCCCTATAATAGTAATTTTTTAAAAAATAGATTCAATCCAAGAAGACAAGACCATGTTTTTGAGTGACACAGTGGGAATATTCTTTGAATAGTTGCAATAATCTAAGTTCTAACATCTGTTCAGGGTTTTAAATAGTTTGAGCAGACAGCTGTTCTCTTCTCCAAGGAAAGAAAACGGTACATTTTTAATAATGTATTTTTAAAAATAGATCTTAAAATAGCATTTTTATGTTTTTAAAAATTAAAAATATAGTGTTTTACATATATAACAGGTTATTCTTTTTTATTCTTCAGGCTTCCGTTTCTGCTTGAATAAGTGGGCGGGAAATAAGGAGAGGGCTGTGATATCGGAGGCCATCTTTTATAAAGTTCTTATCACTCTATGAAAAATTGGTTTTATGCATAATCCACTAAGATTGGCATTGCTGAGATGTTTTGCCTTTTCATATATCCATTCCCAAATGGCTTTGGGTCAAGAAGCTAGTTCTGCTACTTTAAAGATGATATAGTTCAGGGGTAGGCAACCTTTCAGAAGTGGTGTGCCGAGTCTTCATTTATTCACTTTAATGTAAGGTTTCGCGTGCAGGTAATACATTTTAACGTTTTTTAGAAGGTCTCTCTCTATAAGTCTATATTATATAACTAAACTATTGTTGTATGTAAAGTAAACAAGGTTTTCAAAATGTTTAAGAAGCTTCATTTAAAATTAAATTAAAATGCTGATCTTACGCCGCCAGCCTGCTCAGCCTGCTTCCAGCCTGGGGTTCTGTTCACCTAGGCTGGCAGCGGGCTGAGCGGGGCCTGCGGCCGGGACCCCAGACCTGGGGGGGGGGGTTCAGGGGTCAGGACAGAGGGCAGTGGGGATGTGGGGGGGGTTCAGGGCAGAAGGCTGGGTGTGTGGGAGGGGTTCAGGGGTCAGGACAGTGTGGATGTGGGGGATTCAGGGGTCAGGGCAGAGGGCAGTGGGGGTGTGCGGGGAGGCTGAGTGGGGCTGGGGGCCAGGACCCCCCCACACCGCTCTCCCCTGCGGGGGCAGGAGGCAGAAGCTAGGTCCTGCGGCAGCCAAGCTTTCCTCCCTCCCCCGCTTCTTCCCCCAGTGTGGTGCTTTCCTGCCCCTCCTCCCCTCCTCTTCCTCTCACCAGGCAGGCAGCAGCGTGCCACTCAAAATCAGCTTGTGTGCCATGTTTGGCACACGTGCCGTAGGTTGCCAACCCCTGATATAGTTGAAAAGAAGTACTTTACGAAAATGTCTGAGAACCCTTTCTCTAGAGTGGAACTCTGTCACATGTTCCACCTCCTCTCTCATTCATTATTATGTAACATCCCTGTGATAAATGAGGATCTGTGGTTTTGAGAACTCAGCTAAGAGCAGCCCTGATATAGTCACCATAAAGTTTTATTTCAGAAATTTTTAAAAATTCGTTTATTCTTCTCATTCTAAAAGAACACATAGCTGGATGTTATGGTTTTCTGTGTAGTCTCCTGTCTTTCTTTCTTTCCTTTTCTTTCCTTTTCTTTTCTTTTCTTTGTAATTCAGCATCTTGAATTAACTAAGATTTACAGTTCTCTGTTGATATCAGCCTCCAATATTTCTGTTATCTTTTTGATGGAAGAAGAAGCTAGGTATGGAAAAGACCTTTTTCTGACACCTTGTCCACCATCTTTCCCTTTCTGTCTCTGCCACTCAGTCATCCTTGACGCGCCACATCTTCAGTATGTAATGGATAGAAAAGGGTCACTTTTTGTAATTCCTTCCTTTCTTTTGTGTTCAGGACAACATTCATATCTATCTTGCATGATAAAAACAGGCTTGATTGGCCAATTAACTGTTATGCACTTCTTCTAACACTTCTTGGGCAGAATGACACTGACGCTAAGAAATTACATCTAGCTTCATGTTTAACGTTGTGTATGCATGCAATCATTGTTTCATTTTCTTCCTTTTGTGGTATGTTTTGACACAGGGATAGATCCAGGGCTTTATCTAATCTGTCTAGCCAAGTGCGCATAAGAGCAT